CCTATTCAAGATACCTTAGTTATTCTTGAAACTTAACCAGCTTTCTTTTAAGCCTTTTTCAATCCATGTTTTTACTTAGCTTCAGCTTGGTTTTGAATTCTCTCTTCCTTATCTTTACTTGATTCTTCATAGTTGTTTCTGATTAAATTCTGGTTTTCTTTATTTTCTGTGTTTTCTTTTCCGAGTTTATTATGCTTTCACTTTGCTTTTTTCCTTTTTTCTTTAAACTTTATATTGTTTCTCTCTTCTTATTCTAACATAATTTTACAATGAAATTTCTATAACTTTTCGAAGAAATTAGACCAAAATAGTTCTGAGAACTAACTTATTGCCTTGTTAGTTTTGGAGGCAGATCCTAGAATTTCCTTGACACTTGTTGTGAGCTGGTTACTTGTTAGACCTTGAATATGTAGCTTTCTCCTGCTAAGTATCTCAGCTACATCCTGTCCTAAGAACACTTCTTTTAGAGTTTGTTCTGAGATATCCATATCCTATCTATCGTCAATTTTTATACACAGCTCTATTATGATCAACCTTTCAATCTTTCTCCAAATTCCTTGATATAATTGGCATTCTGCAATATGTTCTAATGATTCCTTTTTTACAAGGCATGCTATACAAGTTTTGCTCTTATATAGACTCAGGTTTCTTTGGAAGTATAGGTCTTTAGTTAGTAATAACTTATTGAGACACTTTATTCTGAATATCAGAGCTTTGCTTTTTTTGATGCTCGTGCATCTTTTTCCCTAAAGCTTCTTTAGCACACCTATGTGTTTCTCTAGTTTAGCTCTTCATTGCTTTGTCTGTTTGATCTTTGACTTAGCATTAGTTTAATGTTATTTAGGTCTGCCCATTCGCATTTGTATGATATTGTTGTAATTATATTAACAAAGAATCTCAATAGATTATCTACTAATTTGTTATTTCAGATTGGTACTACTCTTATACTGCTTGTTGTAGTATCCTGTACTTCTAGTATTAGACTATATGAGAGTTCTTCTTTTGCTAACATGTCAGCTTTATCGTTCTAATAGTTCATGCTATAGCCTTTGACCTTAATTAGCTCTAGTTCGATATTTTTAGTTTTACAACAGTCTATTATTTGGTTAATTAGATTATGATTCTTAGTTTTGAATATGCTTCTAATATTCATTCAGCTTTGAAACCCTTGTATTCCTTCTATCGCTACATTGCTATTAGAGTATACTCTTACTTTTGCACTGGTAGGAACTACTAACAAGGCTATCCAAATCGCATCTAGTTCTGCTTGAGTTGAGAAGAGCCAGTCAGCTATTCTACTATTAAAACTAATACTATTCATATTACTATTCTCATTCGCTATAACCCAACCTATACCCATCCTTTTCCCTTCTCTATCTCTTTTATGCTCTTTTACTAATGACCTATCTGTATATATATCTAGCTCTTTTCTCCCTCTTAACTTCTCCACAATACCGGTTAGCTTGCTTTGTATCTCTTTATCACTAATTACTCTTTGAATCACTACTTCTTCTATACTAGCTACTCTTATTTCTACTTCTCCTTTCTGTTTCTCATTCTTCTCATGTTAAAGCTTATTCTCTGCTATATAAACTGACAGAGATATTTCAATTAATAGTGTATCTCTTTCATGTACTACTTTTTCTAATACTTGGTGCTATATCTTTAGCTTTTGGCTTATTATATAGCTTGTGTCATTGCGTCTTCTATATATACAGCCTTCACACTTTCTAGCTAATATATTTCTTTCACTCTCATTTTCTTCAATTCGCCAGTACTCAGTTATGAAATGCTTATTTTTTTTTCTTATAATTTTGCTAATTTCAAAGCTTTTTCCTTTTTCAAAGATGATCTATTCTTTTTTTCTCTTATCTGCTGATATTTTGAGCTTGTTAAAACTTATTGCATACTGGTTTGGTTCTGCTGTATAGTATTCTTCTTTCATATGCCTTGTTATACTGCAGTCTAGAACTCTTTCTTCCATGTACTTGAACTAGTTTGACTTTTGACCTCTCTTTTTGAGATCTCTGATACACCTTACTTGTTGCTATATTAAGAGTCTGTTGCCACTGCTTGTTATTAGCTATTCATGTATGAAGATATTCATATTATTGCTCTCTCTATATCTGTTAGCCTCTTTTTTATTTAGCAGACTCGAGATACTTGTGCTCAGAACTTTTGAATTTTCTTCATAAGCTCTACTTTCTTGAAAACTAAAGCCTAGTTTCTTTCCTTCGTAAATTATCTTGTAAGCTAAATTAAATCTAAGCTTCATATAATTTAACTTGCTATAGTTACTGAGGATGTTGTTTGTATTTATACAGCTAAGTTGTGTTTCTTTAACTCTTAATCTTGTAGTGAGTCCTACCTCATTTTGTTTGTTTAATCACATAGTTAACTCTGTAATATGATGTACAAGTTGGTTCTGCCAAATTGTACGCAGTCCTAAAATCTTCATATGACTACACATACTATTCAGAGCTAATTTTGCTAGGTCTATCTTGTTCCTAATTAAAGTTCAAATAGGTCTTTGTATTCGCTTACATGCAGATTTAGATAAAAAGGCTGTCTGGAGTCTGTACTCGATACTGGGTATGAGTACACTATTGTTTAGATAAACTAACTGGCTTACTAATACTTTTTTCCATATGATCGCTTTGCACATTCTTGTGATTTCTTTTATAATGATAGCTTCATTGCATTTTTTTCTACCTTTTTCTGATATCCAAACTCCAAGATGTCTTATAACTTCTTTTCCTCGCTTTGCTTGCACTAGCTCTTTGATCTTTCCTATCAAAATTTCTAGCTGTGGCCCTTTCCCTTTTAAGTTTAATATGAGGAATTCAGACTTCTTATGTTTATCTCAATATCATTTAGCTCATAAAATTCTGTAGAGATATCAACTATTTTTTGCATTTCCTCTTTTGATCTTGCTAACTATGTTGTATCGTCTGCATAAGCTAGTACACTCTGTTGCTAGCTCATTATCTATACTTTGTTTGTCTTTAGATCGCATAGCCAATTAAGCTCTATTCTGTAACCTAGATCTTTCTCTTTGCTGATTAAAGTTAGTAGTGGGTCATAGAATATTCACCACATGAGTAGTGAGACCACTTCTTCTTGGTCTAGTCTATCTTCTGCTTCGAACTCCTTAGTGAAGCCGTAATTTGTAATAACTTTAATTTTCCGCTTGTTGTATAAATTGAAAAAGAACTTAGTTGTTAGATCAGATATCCTTATTCTTTTCAGTACTCTTTCCATCATTATTAAGCTCATTAAATCAAAAGCTTTTTTTATGTTCTGAAAGAGGATCCACAGCTTTTTGCCTTTTTGTCTTGCATCTTCTAGCAAATTGTTCATAATATGAATTGGGCTTGAGGTGCTATCACCTGACAAATCTGCAAAGTTTGGGCCTTCTAATATGCTGTGTTTGACTAGGATGCTATCTATCCTTTGCATAATAACTCTTACTACTATTTTCCAGAATGCTTCCAGTAGTACAATAGGTCTTACATTTGCCAGGTCGTAGTTCTATTCTTCACTTTTGGGGATTGGATATAGTTGTCCTAGTTTCTATTTTACAGGAATGTCTCCTTCTGTAATACACTGGTCTGCTAGTATTCTGAATACCTTTTGTGCTGTCTATTCTGCTTTTTTGATTAGAGAGTAACTAATTCCTGATACACCAGGTGCAGACTTGTTTTTTGTTTTGTTTAGAGCATTAGCCCAATCCTCTTCTGTTACTTTTTTTGATAGATCTTTATAAATTTCAGTATCTATCTTTCTAATTGAGCTATATGCTTTTACTCATTTTGCTAGTAGACTGTTTTCATTGATGTCTCTTTTCTGAAATTGCTTCATGAAATAAGATCTCACTTCACTAAGGACTTCTTTCTTCTCTGTGAGTAGGATTTTCTCTTCTCCTGAAACTTTTATTATTCTGTCTACTTTTATCCTTCTTGATAGTCTTTTTAGCAGACTATTAAGCATAGGTTTTAGTTCCCCTTGTATTGCTTCACAACTTGCATCGATATGCTTATTGATTTCACTTGTTTCTTCTTTTTTCCTTTCTTGTTGTACTTTAAGGTTTAGGATCTTCTACCATTTCTTGTATTCAATTGCTGTTTCGTTTGACCATCTTTCTTCAACTAGTATATTGATTTGAAGATCATATTTGCAATTTAGCATTTCTATTTCTGAGTTAGTCTGATATCGATCATTATCACTTATCTAAGAGCTTCTCTTTTCTATACATTTATGGCAAATTTTTTCTAAGTGTTTCAGGTCTTTTAGGATCTTATCACTTTCATTTGTCTTTTTTGATAAAACACTACATACTGCAACTTTTTGGCTTGGTAGTATTATGTATGCACTTCTAATTATACTATTAGATATGATATCCTACAATGCATCTAAACTCTTGTCTTTGCAAATGTCCTCAAGCAATGTTGATTTATCTGTGAATCCTAAGCCTTTTGATATTTCTTCTTCTAGTTTTGTTTTGTAGCTTCCCACTCCTCATTTTGTGCTTTGTCTAGTTTGAGGATCATCTTTTTCTTTTTGAGTTGCTTATTAGTTGCTACTGATCTTACTTTCTGTACTATACCAGTACCTAACCTTGTAACTACAATTTTGTGATTACTACACGTGAAAAACTCTGCAAAGTATATTTTACAGCTTATACTGCATTGGCTTAATTCTTTTGATGCCTAAATATAGTCGATTCTAGTACTGGATGTTCTATTTAACTATGTGAACTTCTTCTTGTACAGGTGACTCTCTCTATATAAGTCTTTGAGATTTGAGTTTTCTAACTATCTTATTAGAGGAAGGGATTGCTTTCTGCTTGAATTTTCTTTGTTCTGGTCTAACTCTTTTAACCTTATATCATTAAAGTTTCCTAAAATAATTATTCGTATTTTGTTTTTCTCATATTCTCTGATCTTTCATATTATGTACTGCTGTATCTTTTTCTTCTCTTCTTTGTCACTTGGTGGAATATAGGTATTGATAATTACTAATTTATATCTTTTGAAAAGAAGTAAAACATTAATATAGTAGTTACTAAATCTATTGATTTGCCTAATAGGTTTTTCCCAATTCTTTTTGATTACTATTCCTACTCCTGATCCTTTTAATTTGTTTTCATTTGTATTTGTCCAGAACCTTGCATATTCTCTATCTTTTGAGATTAGAAATTTGCCTTGTAGCTCTGAAATATTCATTTCACAAATTCCTAGAATATCAATATTTTCTTCTTTTGCCTATTCTAATAGCAAGTTAAGCTTGTGACTACTTGCTTTAAGACTGTTAATATTGTGCATATTCAACTTTAAAGTTCTAAAGTCTTCATTTTCACTCGAGTTGAATTGGTTTTCTAGCTCTCTTGCCTTTTTCTGATTTCTAAGTTTTCCTTCTTGAGAAATCTGGACTCTCTGTAATTTAACTAGTATGACTATTTAGGAGTGATTTGGGACTCTAGAGCCTC